GCCGACAAGGTGTCACTTTCCGTAGCCGTGGAGTGGGCTGAGCTGAAGTTTCACTCTTGACCCCAGAACACAGGGCGCTGAGAACATGCCGCTGCCCTGTCCAGATGTGGCATCTGAGCAGCCGTATGGCCCCTCGAGGGAACGCGTGTGAGGTGGATGCACTGCCCTGGCCTCAGTGTGCTGGGACATCTCCTTTTCGAAATAGCCTTATTCCATCTATGGCCCCATGGTCCGGTCACAAGGGTGCGTGTCTGACTTCAAGGAGAGCATCTCTACTGGAATTTTTTTTGCCCTAAGTGAGAACAGATGGCTCAGTGATGTACGTGTCCCTTTGATCCGCCTCAACTCCTTGGAACCCCGGCCTGGAATCTTAGCAGGGTCTGACTCGGCCATTTGCCCTTCCGAGGGAGAGAGGCTGAGTGTCTTGTGTTTTGTGTGGGAGTCTTTCCGATGAAACTGTAAAACGTTTGCCTTGTCCAGGGAGGTCTTTTGTGTCTGTCCCACGTGGACATTAGAGACCCCCCCCGGTACTTTCTGCAAGAGTCGGGCTTTACCCTGCAGTTCTTGTGCCGATTTCCCCTCTTTCTCCCCGTGCCGTGTGCTCCCTAGACCTCAGACAGGGCTGCGTTTCAGGCTGGATGGAGCAGTGGGATGGGAGATGCTCTAGAAATGCTGCTGGCTTTGGATTTTTGTTTTTAATGCTGATCTTTCCCTCCCTCCCTCCCTTCGCAGGCTGTGGCCCACATCCTGCCTTTCCGAGACCAGAACCGACGGTTTCTGGACCCAATCTGGAACCGGCATCATGTGGAGAGAGTAGAGATTGTCCTGAAGGAGACTCTCGATGCTAAAGGTCAGGGAGCCTGGGCTGAGCTAGCCGGGGGGAATCTCTCAGGACCTGGGTGGCTTTAGTGTATCTGTGTGAGAGCGACCCCTGAATGTTGCAAATGCATGAGAAGGAGGCCAGGTGGGTAGCTGAGCGGTGTCGCTCTGGATGGGCAGTTGAGAGGCAGAAATTTGATTCCCAGTCACGGCTGTTACCTCCCTCGGCTGGAGGGGAACCTGCCCCTTCCTCCTGCTGCAGAGTTCGGGAGCCTTTCACATCGTTGCCCAGAGACCCTGAGTTCTGCTGCAGAGGGACTCGGAAAGGGCCTGGTCTGGGTTCAGGTCTCATTTGGTGCTGTGGTGTGAAAGTTTAAATCAGGGTTCGGCTGCTGCAGCTTTTGCCCGAGGGAGCGACTCGCACTCACCAGGCCGTGCTCATCCATCCCGGCACAGGGGCGTCTCTCAGCAGCCGTTCGGAGAGGGAGAGATGCTGGATGGACGCAGCTGCAATCCCGGCCTGCAGGGCTCCAGCCCCACGCCGCAGTGCTGAGCGGAAAGCACTCTGGGTTGGGCTGCC